ATGTCCTGGACCGTAGCGACGTTGCCGGAGCTGCTCGATGTTTAAGGCTTGCAGATCAAGAGCCCGCTTGCTGATCTCCAAGTAGCTACCCATGGGTGATTCCATTCAAGAAGTTCCGCAACTGTTTGGAGGCCACGTGAATTCCAAAGGCGTTCCCCAGTCAGGCCCGGCCGATGTGAAAGATGACTTCACATTTTGGTGTACATGAAGGTGATGGGCGAGAGCCAGCTCCTCCTCATGGAGGAACATCTTGGGTATCTTCCGCCCTGGCACTCGTATCCACGTCCTCTGAACTTTGCTGATATGTGACTCAGTCAAAGTGACTTTTTTGACTCCCCTGTAGCGGAAAAATGGCGATAAACAAGTGAAGTAGTCAAAAACCTGCTAAGAAAAGCCTTAATTCCTAATGACTCAAGAGCAATTTCGGAGTTTTCCGTAGGCATCGTGCCAGTAACCGCTACGGTAGGTACGGCTGCACTTATGTACTCATATTATCCGACGCAGCACCGCGGGGCGCACTTCGAATATCAAGTCCCTTCGCTCCATGTTTTATCTGGTGAAAGCGAATTTATACGAGCATGAAGTACGGTCGTCCATTTGTGGGCGGGCGGGTGCAGTTCGGGTCGGGTAGTTGTAGCTTGATAGAGCCTTATAAGGGTACCTCCTTAAGGAAGGCGCTACACAGCTCCTGCTCAGGGTTGCGGAATTCCGTCCTGCGTATTAATCCTACTCGTCTCGGAGACGTATCGTGCCAACTGTCTTCAAGATTCGGTCGATTGCGAGCCAGCGCGCTTCATCGTCAATCATTGAAAACATCGCCACGTCAAAAGACAGCTCCTACCGATTCAAGGTACCTGGAGCAAAAATTTCACAAGGATAAGAAAAAGTAAAAGGTAAACGTTGGAAGCTCAGGTAAAAATGATGTTTTCATAAATTTAAAATGTCAAAAACACATTTAACCACTTACAACAACTGAAATGCAGACGTACACAACATGAAATTACTGCAATCCAAATAGGAAAGAAGGGGCACGTATTGAAAAAATTATATTTGCTTTCATCACGGAAGGTATCCTGAATGTTGCTGAACTTCTAGGCTCTGAATACTACCGATTGAATGTCTTTGCGCCAAGAACTCGCTGCAATTGCAAGGACTTTATTGATGCCCCTCTATAGGGAGGTTAATTCGTTAAATATGACCGCCACTACGTTAAACTGTTAGGCATCTCTTTTATCAACCTCACACCTATATAAAGGTCGTCGCTAATCAGTATTTAAGCGGGCTGATCAGCGGAAATCTTTAGCAATGTTGTTTGTGTAACGCAGAGTAGAGCATGAACGATAAAACTCCTCCCTTTATTCCGTCCCCACCAATTCTCTGATTTTCCGTGATGTCTCCGGCAGTACACCACTCCCTTTCCCTTTGTGCACGTCTTCTTTTGAACTTCGAGAATCGAAGCGGAAGAATATTGTCGAAAAATGTCTAGATTTGTTACTAACACTACCATCTAAGCCTAATTTATGTGTTTCATTTTAATTCATTTTAGCATGCTTTTCATCTTTGATTGTTTCATGTGATTTCAAATTTCAATTGTAGTCTTAGTTCTAATTGAAGTTGCTGAAAAATTGAAGCAGTAAAAAATTCACTCATCATTTGCATGGGATTCGTCAAGTGCCAGTAAACTGGTGAAACACTCATCTGGGAAGGGAAAATACTCGCTTTTCCAACGGCTAGCCCACTACAAGTCAGTGAACAGCTCAAGTAGCATTCAAAATGCCACTGCAATTCGGGATGGAAGTGAAATGAATTTCATAAGGACGGCTAATGCCGTTTGGACTCCAGAAATTTCGTCTTCGAGCTCATTTTCAAATTACCTAAGTCACCAAATCGACTAAAATTTTGTATATAGAGGGTAATTCGACATCCTGATTACGAGTAATGACACTATTCTTGTGGCCTCGCGCCAAAGAGGATGGACACTACGATTACTCTGGCTCAGCCTTGAGCAGGCAGCGCAAGTAACGTAGTGTCATCTGTTAGCGCCAGCGCTAAAAATAAATGTCATATTCGTGATCAGGATGTTGAATTACCCCTATATACAAGTTTTTAGCGGATTTGGTGATCTTGCCACTTTTAAAATGAGCTCGAAGACGAAATTTTTCTGGGCACGACACCCAACGGCAATTAGCCGTCGCGAAAAGCGCTGGGCAGCAGGCGAAACATTTCGCGGCGGCCCAATTTGCCCACTTCAACCCGTGTTTGTTGCTTTGCACACTGTTGAGTAAATTGCAGTTTAAGCTGCCTTTTTATTCAGTTTTGGCTCGACATTCATTCACAATTGAGCTTACTTTTACTGCCATGGCCCTGAATTCAGCTTGTGAATGCAAAACACCGACAGAAATTCATCTTATAAAGCCTTGTAGATGGATCATGAAAGCGGCCGCATTGTGCAGATAGTTCACGCCCGTTATGGGCTAATGCCGTTTGGACTCCAGAAATTTCGTCTTCGAGCTCATTTTAAAAGTGGCAAGATCACCAAATCCGCTAAAAACTTGTATATAGGGGTAATTCAACATCCTGATCACGAATATGACATTCATTTTTGGCGCTGGCGCTAATGGATGACACTACGGTTACCTGCGCTCTGCTAAGGCTGAGCCCAGGAGGTAATCGTAGTGTTCTCTTGGCGCCAGCGCCAAGAATGAGTGTCATACTCGTAATCAGGATGTTGAACCCCTATATACAAGTTTTTAGTGGATTTGGTGACTTAGGCAATTGAAAATGAGTCGAAGAGGAAATTCTCTGGGGGTCCAGAACGCATTCAGCCGCCTTTTGCGACCTACAACAAGAGGTGTCCAACATAATCCGCAAGTTCCGGTGGAATACGAATTCCAGCAATGACTAAGATCCATGGCAAGTCACTAAAACAAGCGCAGAGTAGGAGCTTGGAAAACCAGAAATGAACTTTGCAATGGCGTTTATTGGATGCATTGATTAGTTAGCAACAAATATTTGCTCTTCCGTTACGGTTAAACAAATATTCAAGAAAACAACTCGCATCATACTTAGCAGATCACCGATTTGTAAGGTCGACAAAATATTGAAGCTTACTGGAGAGGTGCTGGCGAATCCTCAGCGAGTTGGGCGGTGGGGTGGGGCTATTTGGCAGAGTGGAGGAGGAAGTAACATATTTGGTCCCATTTAAGACATTTTGACGATTGATTTTATCCTATTTGCACAGGCCGCTATCCATCATCGCGCGCCGTGAGCAAAAATTGTCTTGAGGAAAGCCTGGAAACTGCGTGGAAAAAGCGGAAAGAGAATGTATGCGTACCGATTCGGAACATCGGCAGCTTCCTCTAGTGGAATCCTAAGAAGCACACAGTGGGCGAAAGTGACTGGGATTCATTTCTGTCGATCCCACCGAACTACAAACTCCGTGGAATCCTACTGTGTACGTTCGAGTTCTTATTTTCATCCATAATTCGGAGTGTATACTTCGAATATTCGTGCCCGACTCATATTAGAAATATGATAGCTAAAAAAGTAAAAAAAGTCAAAAGTAAAAGTAAAGTCGTAGTAAAAAGTATAAGCACAACGATTCGGTAGTCAGTCTGAAACGGTAGAGGGGCTACTAAATAGTGGGAGAATAGCGAATATATAAGTGAGAAGGTCAAAACACGCAAACATGCAGGGCTCTGCTCGCGCGGTCAGCCGTTATACCAGCTAATATAGAGCAGTTTTTGGACGAATGTCCCGTGGCTTTACGCCTAACAAGTCCGCCGGTTACCTTTCGCTGCCAACATTCATGTAGACTCGAAATCCTGCGACGATCGCTAGGCGTGTGTCTGCATGGTTTCAACTTGACCTGAAGGTGTCTATGCTTTTGGTGAGATGCTTTCATCTTGAAACAATTGCTGTCGGGTCTCTGTCCAACACAGGACAAGATGACAGTTGTCCCAGAATGGAAAATACTCACCGGATAACCAGTTCAGCGTCATGTTCACGGATGGCCCGCCTTACTCATGCTCAGGATAACGAGTATGTGACTTGCCAGCGCAAGTCTCGGCACCGTGAGGGAAAATTTTCAGAATACACCGAAACTTTCATTCGTACGATCCCAACCCCTCCTCCGCCACCCCTCCCCCCCTAGATCATAGACCATGCTCCTAAATTTTCCCAAATTCTTACCTTTCTCCGGTTTTCTCCCAAAAACTACGCCACATTTTCTTCAGGAGACCGTCGAGCAAAGGAGGTCAACTATGCACTCGAAGTGGATAAAACTACGGACGAAAACATCTTTTTTCGAAGGCAAGTACGACCCCTCCAACCAACACATCCAGCCCTCGCCTCCAAAAGTGCCTTATAATTTGGCAGAAGGTTCATGAAGGCACTTATAAAATATAGAGGTTCTTCTCCTCACCAGCAGTCCCCCAAAGAGCCCCTCGCTGTGAACGACTAAACATACCGCCAAATGGGTGGCTTTCTTCCTCTGCTAGGCTTTTCGACCTCATAAGCATGGTCAATTTGTTATGCTTAAGCTTTGAATGCAGAAAATTCCACACACAAATAACGGTTTTACTTCCAGTCACCTAAAACAGCCCATAAATCCCTCACATCATCCTGATTTACAGCGTGCAAGAGTCGATGTGAAGCGTGACTAGCTTCATTCCGAAAAACGTTTCTCAAGAGACTGGACAAGATTGTCTGCGCACTCAATGCAGAGCTTTTCTATCCTTAGTACAACTTTCATAGGACATATCCTGCCATCCAAAACTTTATCGAGCAGTGCGAACCAAACGGGATCGAATTTCCAGTCATAATAATCACTCCATAGAAAATGTTTATCTAGAAAACTTCGCAAATAGACAACGAGATCGATCAATACACACAATAACATGGATGAAATATGAACAACAATGTGAACATTTGCGGGCTACCGTTTATGCAACACGTCTTTTTGAAGTGGATTACATGGGATAATGCAGTAAACGAACAAATCAATCATTTCTCGCCTGAGTCCTCAACATGACGAAAATTTTCTCCTTGATCCAGTCCTTGTTATGCGGCACATACTGGCATGTCTCCTAAAAATTCCAGTAATCAATTAACCCTACACTTTCATTTAGCAATCGCACAGGGTGTCCAACATCGATGCCATAAATCAGCATGAGCGAGATTTCGCAGTCTATGGATCGTTGCTGCCGTAACCCGGCTCACTGAAGGAAGGCAGCGTTCAGACATCGCGATGACGCGCTGCAATGCGCATCGACGCGTTACAATTACAACAATGTTCCAAAGCTATACACGCGAGCGCAGTCGCAGACGGCCGACACCGATCAATTCCCGTGTGCGAACGCAACTGAAGACGGGAAGGGACGGCCGTCTGCGACTGCGTTCGTGTCCATAGCTTTGTGGCACTGTTGTAATTGTGGCGCGTCGATGCGCGTTACAGCGCGTCATCGTGACGTCTGAACGCTGCTGGGAATCGAGGCGCCGGCCGCTCCTGCATCGAGAGACTATGCGGGAATATGATGTTAGATCTTACCCAGTCACACAAACTAGTACTGATCGAAACTGGCTGTCTGCGGCTGCGTTCGCGTCTATAGCTGAAGCGGTGTTCCAATTGCAGCGCGTCGACGCACGTCATCGCGATGCCTGAACGCTGTCGAACCGTCTACGGACAACTTGACTCAATCCCTTTAATTCTGCCAAAATTCTATTTTTCACTGCGCTCTCACGTCAGCATTACATTACATGATCATTGTGGCTCAACACATTCCAAATTTTCGCGTATTTAGTTCATCAACCTCGTGTCTCCGCCCCTCGAAAAAGCTCCTCTCTCTGCTCGCAACATGTTTTTGCGCCTTTGGATGCCTCAGAAGAAGAAGCCCTCCATTCCCCTGCGCACTGACCTTTCGCGCCAATATCCCCGCAAAAATCTCCAACGTAATACCAGGAACTCTTTCCCCTCCCTAATATTGAGACGCGCCCCTAGCACGCCAAGCAAGTGAGTCCATTTGGTTAAAGTACATCGTATGGCCAATGCTCGAGGCGGTATAAGATCGCAACCAAAATGAGCTCAAACTTGGGAAAATAATCCATGCGCTGAATACGGTGGCAGCGACTCCTCGGGTTGCGAAATCGCTCGTGTCAAATCAGCGAAATCTACAGATCTAATCAAGGTACTAACCGTGTTCAAGATAAGACAGCTAAGGTCCGAGAGCTTATCGATAAACTCATATAGATGAGAGACGTCATATGTGATGCTGGCCATTGACGGATTCTGCTTTTTGAGAAATTCCTCGTAGATTTTGCAGATGCCTGGAAAAAACTTCGCCTGTACTTCTGAGAAGTAACTGTCCCTGACTGTCCCAGTAACTGTCAACTGTCCCCTGGAAAAGAGAAAACTATACATTCGACCATCTTGCTGGGAACAAATCCAAACACAAAGAATAAAAAATTTGCCAAAAATTTCACTTATTTCACCTTCAAATCCCATCTAACCTCAGGGGGCAGGCGAAATTGGTCAATTGAGAACCATTTAATAACAATGGAACTTTTTCCTCGAGTTGTTAGAACTGGAACAACTGAATGTCCATTCACTCTAGAGTGAACCATGGCTGTGAGGAAAGTGAAGGCATCGTCTACTGCAGTACAAACATGAGGTGAGCAGAAGCGAAGAGGGGCGGTTGCGGTAAGTACAAACGTCG